AAAAAAAAAAAAAAAAAAAAAAAAAAAAAAAAAAAAAAAAAAAAAAGTGAAACCTCTTTTTCTCTCTTCTATCAAACTATGAAGCCATAATGCACTGCTAATTATTTTTCTCTGTAAGATTTTGTACTTAAAATATTTATATTTCTCAATAACTTTACTAAGTGCATGAAACATTTTTTTGCAAACCCAGCTGTGGGATTGGTGTGGCAAATAGTAAGGTTTACATTTTGAAGCTTCAACCACAGCCAGATAGATATCTCTGTTCTCTATCATTGAATACTGGTCATAATTTATACTTGGCTGAATCCACCCTGTTGACAAATTTTCAATGACTAGAATGGATAAGAACTAACAGCTAGAAAAATAAATATGCTAACTAGCTCTTCGAATTGTTAATGGCAGACCCCAGAGCCAGGTTGTGTCAACACTGTTTTTCTCTAGTCGACACTGTTGTACTTTCTTTACACACTTTAAATAAAGCAGAATTATAGAAATTACAGTATGATACAAACATAGCTATATATTTAGAAGAAAAATGCACTTTGTGCATGCTTGTGCATATATATTATAATTCATGTACTATACAAGCTATATGAAAAGTTTCACAATATTAACATACATAAAGATTTCAGTGGTGAAGGAAGCTTTTTGCAATGTATATTGCAAAAAACCCCTACAAAACAGTGTATATGTTAGTTTAAAATGCTTTTTGTGTTATATATTGCATTAAGCCCTCACATAGGACAAATCTAAATGAGATACCAAATCCAGTCAATTAAAAATTCTGCAGAGAAGACTGAATAATTTAAAATATTTAAATTGAATATGAATAAAAGGATGAAAGCTCTAAACGAGCATATTACAGTACTTTTACTAAATAGCTTAGTTCTGCAATACATATATAAGAAAATGTGGGCCTGTTTTGGTAAATATTGTAGTATTTACCAACATTAAACAGTCCTCCTCTATTCTTTGAAAAAAAAAATCCTACTTTTATTAAAAGAAATGCTTATATGTAAGCTAGTCTTGATGGCAATTTTTTAATAATGGCTAATATAGATATACCAAAAGTGCTAAGAATCAATTCAATAAAAGGCAAAATACCTTGTTTTGTAACAAGATTCTATCTGTATTTTTTCTAAATATGTGTGTTTTGACATGTACTTCTTAATATGCCCACAGGGTCCTGCAGTTTGTGTACTTTTAAGTCCTTGTGACTTTTGCTCTACTTTTGCAAAAGATGAGGAAATTCAACATTGCATAACAAAGTGTAAATAAATCCATGAATATATAACATTTAAACACCTACAGATATTTTCACTTCAGCTTTGTAAAGTTTCTGAGTAGCAGAATCTGGTGAGAAAAAATGTGTCTTGTCAGCTAAGGGATTCTGTCATTATAATCCCTAGCTCAAGAAAGGGTGATGTAATGCCCAAATGTTTAAACTTCTGGGCTCAAAACTCCAGAGAAAGGGAAATCACTATGTAATGTCTGCCTACTGCAGTAAGTCAGTTATTGTTATTATTATAACAGGAGAAAATAGAGCAGTTAATAGCTTTGCCAAAAAATGCAGTGTACTCTGCCCTTGTTCTCAATCACTCTGGTGGCTGTTCAGGCCTTGGTTCAGAGATGTGCTTGAGCAGTGTCTCATTTAAAGGAAGAGGCCATTGAGCTGACTTAAATCGTATTGGTATGGATTTTCCTAAAATCCTGGCAAATCAAAAGAAAGTCCCACACTGAGATATCTGAAGAAGATGTGGATTTCTCTCTGGAGAGTGATTTTTTAATATATTTATATAATCTTTGGACCAGTTTTGCCCTGTGATCAATGGCTGACAGTGGGAGTTTCAAATGGATATTGATGTGTCTCCTCCAAAACAATTTAGGACAATTTTATAATTCCAGAACCAAATCTTTCCTTGTAGTGTCAAGAGTTAGTGTGAAATGTGTGTGTGAACTTATTGTAAAGTGTGGCTCACAGTCTGTATTTCAGTCTTCACTCATCCATCACAAAGAAAGGGGCTAGAGAAAAGACAGTCCACAGTGGATGATGGTGCTAATTAGTCTTGAATTCAGTGTATCTGAACATGACAAATGGCTAGTCAGGATTCAGCCATGCATTTACTCTGTTAATACATTCATATCTATCCAAGGAAGAAAAAAACCCCCACTTTTAATTTTCCTTCATTACATGTCATCAGCTCAATTAACCATTATATTTCTAGTAAGATACTGGCAAATTACTGCTTTCTTATTTTGGCTTGCCTGAAGATTTATGGCTATTAGCATTAATTTGTTTGCATTATATGGCATTTCTTTCTCTCTTTAACAGCAGCATGCACTTTACTCTGAATGTTTTTTTTCTGTGTTTGCTGCCATTTCAATATTGCTTACTAACATTTACTATATTTTGCTTTTTTATTTTGCTGACAAAGTTGCATTGATGAAAGCTGATTTGCAAGGTAGATAGCCCTGTGTGTATTAAACAAGACTGAAACCCCCAATGCACAGTTGGATTCCTCAATAAATGCTCTGTACATTTCAGAACTAAAGTGTGTTATTTTGTTTCAGATTTTGTCTTTCACACCTCTAAAACAATGGGCTACATGAATCTTCATTTTCCAGCATAGCTTGCATTAAGGCTTTCAGTCTTGAATATGTTTGTATAGTGATTGCTTTAAGTGCTTTGATCATTCCTTTTTGAAATTTCTTTATATTTCAGTAGTTTAGTTATGATTCTCTAGAAATAGAGTAGCTTTGTTTTTCATGCGTATGTCACATTTTGGCATGTCGGTTCATTAGTAGTCTGATTTTCTGCATTTCCTCTTTAAAAAGGAACCTGCATGGGATCCCTGAAGCATGTGAATCAGTTCTTGTCAACATTCCTGCCAAAGAATCCCAAACTGCCCTTAATTTTAGACCTAAATGATTTAAAATAATTTGTGGGATTTAAATAATTGTAATAGTGTAGCTTCATTTTATTATTTTTTGAAATTTGTATTTGTTTTTAATTTTATTATCCAAACTTTCATATCCTGGAGTTTTGATTTCTGTGGCATCTGGCTTTGCTGTTTGAAATATATTTACAGGAAGAAATAATGAAATTTTTAGAAAACATTTAGCCAGTTAATGGTCTGACACGAGCTAAAGAAATAACTCACAACAACGTTCCCACTGTACCTGGAATAACTCTGCTTCCGTTTGTGCATTCTTATGTGTTTGATATAGCAATCTTACAACTAAAGCAAACCCACCCTTTTAATGTTACATGCTGCTACAAAATCAGCAAGTTTATGTGTGTTTGACTTGGTAACTCTTTGCTCATATGATTTGAGATGTTGGCAACTAGTTAATGTGATCCAGTGAGAAATACCTTTCTTTGGAAAACAAAGTGCAAGTCCTTTTTTGTATGTTCTCATTAGGCCCCAGCACAACATGCCAAGAGGATTCGTGTGCAAACCAGGGTGTGTGCTTGCAGCAGTGGGATGGATTCAGTTGTGACTGTAGCATGACCTCCTTTAGTGGACCATTATGCAATGACCGTAAGTATGCAAAAAAATGCCCCTCTAAATGCTTGGGAGCTTAAAGGCAACATTTGAAGCAAGTGTCATATTATTATAACGTTAGATATTTAAATGAACCGGTAAACCCTGTGAAAATCTGTAAGGCTTGCGATAAGAGCAAAGCTAAAACACGCAGTATAAATTTTGGACAACGGGCAGTATGAAACACGGGCAGAATTTGGTTTTATTGCACTTGATTCCGAATCTAATATACTGATGGTTACCTGTTTGATATCATTCCTTTCCTGCGTAAATATTACAAACGGGATTTTTTTTCCTGATTGAAGAAACGTTTTACATTTTGTTATCTTAAGTTACATTATAATTTTGTAGCACTATCATGAGGGCTATAATTACTGTGAAACAGTTGACAAGGCTCATTATCTCTCTTTGTAGATTTCTTTAGGTGACACACTAAACATGCCAATAATAAAAGCATGCTGAGTATTTTAGTTCTTTTAGATTTCATCTGATAAAACTACACAACATACACCAACCATCTGGTCTTTCAGGAAAAGCTTAAATGTGTCAAAAATAAGGGTCCTGATTCCCCAGCTTCATAATCTAGTTTTATTCCAATCTAACCTTATTGATCTAAGTAGAATCATGCAGAAGTGATACTGGAATAGTACTGGAAGAGCCATAATGTTCCATGGTAAATGGTAAAAGCAAGCTACTGAGTTTTATTCTTAATTCATCACATTTGTAATATCCAAGTGTTGCAAATTTTTGTATCTGCACAAAGAGGGAATTTCCCTAAGGCTTTTGTCTCAAATTGTATTTCTCACAAGGCTAGAAAATTAATTATATGTAAATCCTAATTATTTATTCTCATGAAAGTTCCATAGTTTGAAAGCTGTGGAAAAAACAAAAAGGACTCACCTCAGTCTATTTCTTTGCAGTTGCTCTCATGGTAGAAATGAAATGTGGTATCAAAAAACTTTCAATAATTTGAGTGAAGGTTTGGATTTAGTTTATGTATATGAGTTTGCAGTTCCCATCAATATGTGTGATTAGTCATATTGCTAAACATATATTTTTAAAGGTTTCAGTCACCTATCAGTTACAGGAGAAAATTTTGCTTTTAAGTTCTTATTTCTGTTCTCCTGTTGAGTTGTTTCAAAAGTAACTAAAAGCTATGAAAAAGAAGTTACATATATAACATCTAACAAAGGAAAAACTTTGTTTATAAATGTTTTAGCAGTAATTGATGTCTGGACCTGGAGTATCCTATGAATTATTTCCTCAAGTGACAGCTAATCTGTAAATTTCACAAATCGATGAACTTACATAAGAAAGATATTTACCAGCCTATGAAGGCTCATTTACATGGTAACATAATGGACTACATTGCACACAACTGAGATATTTCACAATATGCTATTTCTCAAGTTGGTAAAGGAGTACTTTTACTTTAGTAAATGGCTGCTAAAAATACTTTTTTCACAGATAAATCTTTTAAAAATATTTATTAATCACAAACATGAAATATAAGTTTATTCTAAATATGGATATTTTGTAATAGAATGCAGATTCTAGTAAATAATACATTTAGTTTCTGCTTTATCTTGACCCCTTATATTAGTTCAAATACTGAAAAATCTGCAAAGCAAATCTAACAAGAGGGATTTTTCCTAAGGTACATGTGCCAGAAAGGAGGAAAAATGATGTCGTAACCTCAACGTCATCTAAACGCTCCAAGATTGCTCTCTGCAGTGTCTGGGAAGAGCATAATGGGAAGAGAAATGATGAAATGTTACTACAGTTTTTGATAACTTGCACAGGCTGCACACCACAGGCTAAACTTTGCAGCACTGAAGTAAGACAAATTCCCTTCCTGTGAAGAAAGATTATCTCAGTGACAGGTCTGGAATAGCACCTGCTTGTTGCTGAAAATGCATTCCCTTCAGGAAGGATGTAGGCATGTTCCCAAGCAGTGTGCGCGAGCACGTTTCCATTGCAGATTGTGCTGCTTGACAGAAGCTGAAATCTAACCCAGTATTGCTATGCAGGCAGTACTTTGGCTTATTTTCCATGTAAATTAGTGATTTAGCTAAAATGGAGTATTTGGGACATCATAGGTAGAGGTTCTTAGTTCTCAAACCCCAAAAATTGACTGCTTAATAATAAGTGTCAGTGGTAATAACAGAAATAGTTAAAAGTACTTGTTTTATGGAGATTTGCATTCCTCCAGTATTGGATGTCCATGTCTAGGTGTTTGCAGAGAGGTGCTGGAGTGTGGCCTTGGTGACAAGAGGGCAGGACTGCCCCATGCTGGTACAGCCTGCTCCACCAGACACATCACAGGGCACAGCTGAGTCCCTCAAGCAAAGCTGGTGACAACTCTATGAAAACACACTTAGAAAGTACGCCATTCTTGCCAAAATGCTGGATAGATAAAGGATGAAGGAACAAAATGAGTGAGAAATAGCAGAGGGAGCATCAGTGTCAGAGTGGGTGTGCAGCTGGGTGGGTGTTTTGCCCTCAGCGGCAATTTTACCTGCCACACCTCACAACTTTTTGTTCCGCCAGTTATTATGGGACATATTTGAGCAGAAATTTCAGTGACAAAGGGACCAAGGTGAGAGGGGACCTGTGGAGAGTGCCTAGTCTAACCCCTCTGTTCAGAGCAGAGTCAGATACTACAGGTTGTCTGGGTCACCATCTCTAAGGATGAAGACTCCACAACCACTTTGGGCAACCTGTGATGGTGCTCATTCACCCTCATAGTACAAACATTTTCCTTAAGTTTAAACAAGATTTCATATATTTCAGTTTGTGCCTATATTGCCTCTTGTTTTCTCATGGGCACCACTGAGAAAAATCTGTCTACCTTCTTTACCTCCCATGCACCAGCAATTTTAAAACACTGAGTTGCTGCCACTGAGCCTTCTCTTCTCCTGGCTAAACAGTTCCCGCTCTCTCTCTTCATATGAGAGAGCTCTTAATTGCCTTTGTGGCCCTTTGCTGGACTTATTTCTGCATGCTCATGCACTGGGGACCACAGCACTAGGAGACAGTGCTCCAGTTGCATCTCAGTAGTGCTGAGTAGGGGGGAAAGATCACATCCCTCAGCGTTTCTGCAACGTTTTACCTAAAGCAGCCAGTGGAGCTGTTGGCCTTTTTTGCCATAAGAGCACACTGCTGACTCATGTGCAACTTGTTGACTACCAGAATACCCAGATCCTTCTCTGAAAGGCCGCTTTCCAGCTGGTCAGGTCCCAGCTTTTCCTGATGTGTGGGTTTATTCCTCCCCAGGTGCAGGATTTGTCATTTTTTTATGAGGTTCTTGTCAGTCCACTTCTCCAGCTTGTCAGCATCCATTTGAATGGCAGCACACACATCTGGTCTATCAACCACTCCTCCCAGCTTTGTATCACCTGCAATTTGCATAAATTTATGTGCACAAATTACCTTGCTGCATTTGAGCTGATACTTTCAATGTGTTTCCCATAGTAACCTCAGTGCACAAAGATCTGACACGCATCGTTCCTAGGCTTTATAATGCAAATGTTTCACATGTATCATTCTTGTCTTTAATTTCCAAAACAGAGTGTGTGGAGGAAATAATGAGAGAAATAGTTTCTTGAAAAGTGTTATAATACGTTCTACTAATACATTGTTCAAGAAGTTTCTCTAATCTTTCTGATAACAGCAAATTGTTACTCCTGTGCTGTTCAATATATTATTGCAGGTGAAAATGTGCACAAGCTTTAAATGAAGATTTGTTTTAAAAAGTTTTCTCAAAATAAGTGCATGTGAGGTAGATTGTTTTCTTTCCCAGTCCAAGAGTGTCCTCTGTGTGTCTGCTTGGGAGAAGAGAAATTTCGGAAATGTGCTCCTGTGAAAGAGGACCTGGGCCTTACACTGGGCTAAATGTAAAGCTATAGTTTTACAACTGTAGTCAGGAATACTATCACAGAAATTTTACTTAGCTGCAAATCTTAGTAGTCCACTCCAGTGAGTATGGAACGCTTGTAGACTATAAACCTTTGTGGCAAAGGTGGGAACTTTCTATGTGCTGCAATTTCCTATTTGCAAGATTGACAAGGCAGGAGAATTTTTGACGCCAACATGCTATACAGTTTATTATTTTGTCTTTTTGATGTGATATGACACTTGGAGACTCAGGGCACCAGTGCTCTTTAGATGTGATAGACAGAAGTGTTACACTGATAAATGTAAAGCAGACCAGTAGCAGTTGTTTCTAAAAAATGGGATTATGTAAAGACTGTACTAAAAGGACAGTTAATGGCTGTTGTTACAAATGGATGCAAGCATGCATCTCCTCTGAGAAAACACATCGTGAACACAGTAACTATATCTAACAGCAGGTTATGTAGTAAAAGCTATCCTCCCAGGGAATTCAGCTTTTTTTTATAAGAGTAGGATTGAAAATTACTCTGGCATAGCAAAACAAATCTATAAAAGATAATCTGCTTTCTATAAGTTTACATCTGTTTTTTACTCGGGCAGTCTTTAAGTGTAGCCATATTAGTGAATGTAATGGCACGTTTGTGGAAACAAATACTGCTATTATTGCATAGAAAATAGCAGACATAATAACATTGTCACATTACATTAGTATAGAAATGTTCAGTGCCAAATTACAGGGCAGCTTCAACACTGTCTGTTACCATAAGGGAATAATGTATTGGTGTTGTACTTGTGATGGTATAACTAACACTGTGTCAACACTTCCATTAAAATCCATTTTTGAAGGGTTAGAACTTCACCACACAGTCTCTCCTGACTAGGAATTCAACCTTCTCAATCACTGTGAGTAACAAAACTTTTTTTTTTTTAAATTCTCTTGTTTTATTTTTACACTTTACCAAGAAAAATCAAAAGTCTTAAAGTGGAGAGCTGTGTCAATATTACCAGATGGGTTCACATAAAACGTTTGATTTTCTCGATATTTGGTTGTGTTATAGAGATATTGCCTTTCAGCTGAAACTATACCTGTCCTTGTCAGATTT